CTCTGTAGGTAGAGGATCATGAACCTGTGAAGTTGAAGGCAAATCTTGGGGTGTTGGCTATTGCTGATAAATAAAGTGCATATGCTCTTCATATGAACTATTGCATAATTCAATGATTTACTTTGTTGATGAAATTGGTCTTTGCCTCATGTTGATTTACTTTCTTCACAATCTTCTTCAATTCTTATAGCATTCTCTACTAGGATAATCATGTTTCGAGGTTAAACCAGGCAAGTCCATGGCTAACTTGAAACAAACACCTAATGGCCATGATTATGCATATTGAAAGAAAAGTTGCAGGTCAATTTTCTGCACTTAAAATATTCTACATATTGTCTCTTTAAAGTTTATTCTATCATTTTTCATTAGAGTATATGATACTATCAGCATTGTTCCTTTCATCCAAAAATATTTAGATAGTAAACAGGAGAGAAAAATGGCTTTGAGCCTTTCAAAGTAATAAGACTATCTGCAGTGCAAGGAGCTTTAAGTAGCTGCATTACTGAGGTAAGTAAACATATGAAATGCCCCTTGATGTTAACTTTTCTATACTCCCTGGCAATCTCGCTGCGATTTGAGACCACCTGATACATTTTCATACACTTATATCTTATAGTACTAGGAGATTGGAGTAATCTTTTTAAAGACACAATTCAAAACATTACTTTATACGATAGTATTACTCTGTACATTAAAGTGTGTGGACTTTATTAATTAAAAAAGTATATTTACATCATAATACATTGTACATATTCACATCATTGTAGGCTTACTTGTTACCAAAAATGGTGTTCGATTATCAGATTCTCCTTCTCCTGGGAAAATGTGCCTCGTTTCAGATTAGGACTCAGGTAGTTAATCCACCTCAACCTGCAGCTCTTCTCAGTTCTCACACCTCTGCACTTTGGTGAACACTAGGCCATCATCCAGGCCAATACAAAACTACATCTGTATCGATGACTTACTTTCTGGAAACAAATTAGGAAATATTCTGTCTGGGAAATAAACTTTTGACATTTCTTTATTGTGTATATTCATTTAGTGGATGAGAAGTGAAAAGATATTTTTATTACTAGTATTAAATTAAAGCAGTAGTTATAAATTGGTTTATTTCCGGCTGTAAACGTGAGATATGTAATTAGTGGGTACCACAACAGTGAGCAATAGGTACAATAATAAATGCCATTATTGTTCACAAGAAGGGAAAGTACTAGCTATCTTTGGAACTGAGCTACAGCAGTCATGCCCATAAGTTTTTTTTTGTATATGCTAGGTAAGAGTACATTCTTAAGTGAAAGACTCAAAGGTAGTGGAAATATTAGCCATATTTTTTTTTGTTCTTTTTTATGGTCACAGAAAATGTAAAGCTGCAGCCGAAGGAAAACTTGACCCCATGCTCTCTGAAGCTTCTAGTTCCAGAAAAGTGGAGAGCTAAGTTTTCCATAGCTAATCCTATTCAAGTCATCCTTGTGTGTATTGATTATTTTGCTTATTGGATCTGATTATGTCATGAACCTTTAGATTCTTACAAAGTTTCCTAAAGTTTAATATCTAGTTGTAGATCCTAGATACATGTCAAAAAAATATCACATAGTAGTCCGTGTGTACTAATAATAATATATACAAAAATGTGAGACTTATTACCCATTAGAATAGAAGATCTTGGGATAACTATTAGACTAATAGTATCAATGTGTCTTTTATAGCAATCTTATGTAAAAGTGAGCTACATGAATTAAACAGAAGTACTTAGAGATCATTTTTGCTTGCTTATTTTATGTGGCGGGCTATTTCAATATGTAGGTTCATAAGGGATGAAGACGGAAAAAGATTACTAATTTGATACTTTGATATAGAATAGTTCTTTATACTATTTGCAATACCTTGCTTTGTAATTTGATTTACATTATAAAGAGCATTTTGCAAAATGGGAAGCTATAGATGCCACCTTTTAACCTTCAACTAATTAAAGTCATGTGTATTTTCCCCCCTGTATTTTATTTTTGACCACTATTTTAACAGGAAGCCATTCACAACTAGAGAGGGAAAAGCTAGAAGAAAGGAAAGGCTTCTCAAGTTGGAGCTGGACTTTATAGAGAAATTAATAGGGAACTTTATAAGTGGGTCATGAGCAACTGATTTTAGTTTACATTTTATTAATATTTTAAATTCTTGTTGTTTTCTCCTGCAATGAGTTGCATAGATGTGTTGGGAAAGTGAATATTAAGGCAAGAAGATTCTAATAAAAAATTGTTGTTATTTGTAGTAACGAAGTACTCCGTATATTATTATTACTTTATAGTAGCTATATATATATATGTAGAGAAATCATCTCATCAGGCCGGCCTGACGGGCTGCCCCGTCCGGCCGAGCCCGTTTGGGCACCTTCCCGGTGTAATTTTTTGATGAAATTTTTTGAGCATGTTCCTCATCAAGTCTAGTTTGTCCATACCAAATTTCAGCTCAAAATTCGATCGGGAAGGTCGTCAAATGATTTTTGCAAGTTAACTGGTCCGGAAAATACATATTCCGGACCAGTTAACTTGCAAAAATCATTTGACGACCTTCCCGATCGAATTTTGAGCTGAAATTTGGTATGGACAAACTAGACTTGATGAGGAACATGCTCAAAAAATTTCATCAAAAAATTCCACCGGGAAGGTGCCCAAACGGGCTCGGCCGGACGGGGCAGCCCGTCAGGCCGGCCTGATGAGAAGAGCTCTCTATATATGTATACCGTATAGCCTTGAGTGGCTGACCTGGCACTGATCATCAGTACTATTATCTTGTTCGTAGACTTTTTATTGGACGTGTACTACTATTCTTTTGCTGCGGTTGTATCTTAGCCGCAGCATTTTGTATTTTTTTTTATAAAAGTTTCACTACTATTTGCTGCGGTTGTCAACCGCAGCAATTAACTTTGTCCACTTTTTGCTGCTCCCTCAATTGCTGCGGTTCAAAACCGCAGCAAATAGCCAAAAATGACCGTAGCAAATAACTATTTTTCTAGTAGTGGAGTGTACCACGTATCGAATTGTAGCCCTTAACAAGGACAATCCGAAACCACTTTGACCCGACCCGAATCGGAAGTGGACCCCACTCAAAAAATTGCCCAAAAATGACCATTTAATGCAATTTACTAACACATTTTCCAACACGACAACCACAAGCGCACAAAGTAATTCTCTTTCGGCGGAACTCCCAACAAGCAAGGAAGAAATTCAGTGATTCTTGGGGAGATCGGAACTCCTTCACCAGACCTCACCGACTTCAGCGCGCAGCTCACAACAAGGAAGACCAGAAGTACCTAACCTCTACCACAGAAGTTGTAATTAATTGCAAAAACACCCGATTGTACGGTGAACACCATACAACTGGGTGTACGGTATAATTTACCCAGCTAATATGAACTGATATGTGATATCATATCCAAAAGAAAAATAAAGATAAGAAAGATAAAAAGATGGGAGATTTGGCAAAATATGATTAAACAGATTTTGGAATTCCAAAATATGATTGTTGTGTTATTATTCCTGAAACAGGAGTAACATGACAATATTTACTGTCATCTTGTAGTCAAACCCGCCAAATAATTGAAGTTTTAGCCATTCAACATGACAGTATTTATAACCATTAATGGAAGTATTTATAAACCACGACAATATTTTTAATCATGGCATTAACGACTCCTATTTCAGGAAGAAAAACATTGATGTCCTATTTTGAAATTTCAAAAGTTGTTTACTCATATTTAGCGCAATTTCCCTAAGGTGATGATAAAAAGGATAAAAATAGGTAAGATAAAATAAAGATGAGATATACATAAAAAAAATGGTAAGATAAAATAAAGATGAGATATACATAAAAATGGCAAGATAAAATGTGTGTGTGAAAGGATTAAAAAAAGATAAAGAAGATAAATGGAAAAAAGATGATAAGACATCCATCTGTCAGATGAATATTCGTCCTCTACTCTGCTCTTTCCAAAATTATACTCGCATCCAATCCAAGAAAAACATATCACTCCCGTAAGAAGCCCAATGATTAGACTTGGACTTTGCTACCCATAAATAAGCCGCAAAAGTCGCTAACCATGTAAAGGATAAATGGAAGTTTAATATGATCATGTCGATCTCTATGTTTCTAACTAGATATAAAAAAAACCTGCAATTTCTCTAGCAAATTCAAAATGAATGAACAATAAATAATAAAAAGTGCATAAATAAGCGAAAATGTAAATACGAATGAAAGTAGTCATCAGTGTCCAATCATGTAGTTGTAGCACCCTCTCTCGATTCCGCCATAGTTGTAGATATGTTATGTTTAACAGAACACCAATGGCTTTTATTTCAATTTGAAACACCTCAATCTAATAAAAATATAGTCACCCTTCCCATCAATGGTGGTGATTCGACTGGGGGACGTGTCATCAGTGGTGCCATAGATGATTCGAGATGAAATATAACCTCTAAGAAAAGCAAATCTATGATGGGAAGTGTATTGTCTTCAATAGCAATTAAACAATAGAATAGTATCCTCGAAGAGTGTTTGACTTGAACAGAAATCACCTATAGAATAATTGTCAAAAGTCACAGGATAATAAGAGCCCTAAATACATTTATGAAATAAATCACCCTTCATTCGAGCTCCAAAGTCCAAACGTCTTTTTAGACATTTTTAAATAATGAAGAAGATGAAAGATAATATTTGAGGGGATGAGCAAAAAGGGACGGTTAAAGTTTATTTTACCCCTCTATGCTTTTACTAAGTCATATCTTTATTCATCACTTTTTTATGAGTAATATTAGTGAATTTTTTTCTTAGTAATTAATTATGCACGCAACAAATCGAAATAAAAATTTAATATTTGGAATGCACGTAAATTCATCAATAAAGCTAAATTATACTCCTAGTACAAAAATACCATATACTCCGTATTTAATTTACTAAACAATTAAATTTACCTTTTTAGGATATTCTTTCAGAATATTAGGTTATGATTAATAACGATATCATTAGGAGTAATCCACCAGACTCATAATGTTTTAGCTGGAATTTTACATCAAATCCAGGTGCCAATTCTGTTGCTAGCCCAGCAGGCAGCACAAAAGTTTGACAGCACATCTATTCTTCGCTTGGATGAACAAACAGATGGCCCGAGTCTCTTGTCTTAGCTCTACGCAACAATGGGCGTTCCTAGTTACTTTCTCGCTGTTTCTTCAACTGATTCCGGGTTTGGTCTTTTCTTTCAAAATTTTCAATACCCAGTTCAAATTTTATTGTTTCTTTTGATACGGCTGCTTTTCTCTTAAGTTTAAATGTTCAGATTTCGTATACAAATTTGATGTAGAGTTCTACCCAGTATACTATCAATCTGAGACTCTGAGTATATTGCTGATTTAGAGTTCTACCCAGTAGATTTCCCTATAAATCAAGATTGCTGTGTAGTTGAATTTAGGCCAGTTTTAGGACTATAGGCGAATACAAAGAGTTGCAGTTTTAAGTAATCCTATGTTAGGGGAACATAAAGGTAAACTCACATTTAATGTCTTGTACTATGCTTCTTATCAAATTGCAGGGGGCAGGGTTGGATAGGAAAATTTATTCCATATCTTTTTTCTCAATTAAAGTTTGAATTTTATGTTCTGGCATGATTAGGAAAAGTAAATCCTTCAAATAATTATTGTGTTCTGAAGCAGCATTACACAAAATCAACTTGAACTTTGGGTTTTAGGATTGATTGTTGACTTTATTGTCTTTTCTGGTCTCCATAGGATTGGCAGATGACTCATCATCTTCGAGCTCTACAGCTAATAAGGGTTCAACTCATTCAACCAGTAACTCTACTGGAGAAATTGTTTTCGGTTCGTTTCTTGGGCTGTTGGCTCTTGTTGGGTTTGCTGTTGTTCTATTCAAGATATGGCAGAAAAAGAGGAGACAGGAGCAACAAGCCCGTTTCTTAAAGCTCTTCGAAGAAGATGATGATCTTGAAGTTGAACTTGGCATCAGGGATTGACATTGAATATTTATGGACTCGTCGACTTGGTCGGTTGTACTTTTAGCAAAGGTGTGCTACCACTCAATTCTGTAATTTTGTGTTATTTTCATATTCTGCCTTTTGTTGGGTGATATTTTCTAATAGCTTTGGATGCTTGTTGATAAATGAATGATAGGCATTCTTTACTACATTTTAGTATCTGCATATCATATTTGCACTTGTTGGTAAATGAATGATGAGCTTTATTTACTACTCCATATTGTAGTAACATCATATCATATTTTTCATGTCTGTCTTCATGTGTAACTGTTGGTGCTTACACTTTCACTTATAAAGAATATTGTGTTATTTATACCAGAGGCAAAGAACACCATTGTGGTTGATTCCACAATTTCATTGATCTGTTGAGGTACATAAACCGAGAGGCGATCTCAACTCTATCACTGTCAAGAGTATGGTTGGGGTCTTGTTTCAATCTAGGAGAAAAGAACGAAAGAAAATATTTGATTTTTTTGCTTAATTCGAACACGGTGTCCGACCTTGTCAAGTCATAAAAGAATTAATTATTTTCAAGTAGCTTATTGAATCAAGAGAGAATTCTTCTGTATGTAGCTATGACAAGAGTCCTCATCAAACTTTGAGCTATAAACTACATTGAAACTGACTAAAAACGAATAAAGAAATAAATACCATAACATGAATAGGAAAAAATAGTTATGTTGATACTAATGCAAGGAAGCTATTAATAATATAGTACAACAACAACACCCAAGCCTTATAATCAAAAGATTTTGGGGTCGGCTAAAATTAATCGATGCATGATATCAGGTCCAAAAAGACAAGAAAGATAAGAAAAATGAAAAGATAAAGTAAGATAAAATGGATAAGATAAAGATAAATATACGATAAAAATAACATAAGAATATAAGAAAGATAAAAGATAAAAAGATAAAAGAACATAAGAAACATAGAAAGATAAAGAGGAGAAAAGAGAAAAGATAAAGAGAGATGGAAAAGAGATCAATCGTCCAAACGAATATGCATCATCCACTTTGATCTCTCCAAAGTCATATTTTCATCAAACCCAAGAAGAAGCATATCCGTTCTCATTCCTCTAATTCAAGTTTGTTTGGGTCTTCCTCTCCCTCTCCTCCCGATTCTTCTCCCCACCTCTCAAGTCGTTTTACAGGTGCATCATTCGGTCTCCTGTGCACTTGACCAAAACACTGTAATTGAGACTTGTAATTGAGACTTCTGCATCTTATCTTCTATAGGTGTTACTCTCACATTTTGTTTGATTATCTCATTCGGTCATTCCTCAAGTGAAGTGACCTTTTCTCACATGTCCACACATCCAACGCAACATACACATCTTTGTCACACTCATATTTTGAATGTGACATTATTTCACCACTCAATACTCTACGCGATACATTAATGCAAACCTAATTGTTGTGCGATTAAATTTACCCTTCAGTTTAGTCGGCATACCTCGATCACATAGAAATCATGATGCACTCTTCAATTTAAACGAGCATGCTCTGACTCTATGGGATAGATCTTCATCTAATTCACCATCTTTCTGAATTATGGAGCCTAAGTAACGAAATATATCACACAGTGGTATCTCCTTGTCATCAAGGGTAATCTCACTGTTGGTATTACTTCTATCTCCACCAAACTTGCACCCCATATACTCGGTCTTGCTTTTTCTCAGTCTAAAACCCTTGGTCTCCAACGTTTGTCGTCATACTTCCAACTTTGCTTTAACACATGATTGTGTCTCATCGATCAATACAATATCGTCGGCAAACATCTTGCACCACAGTATATCTTTTTGGATTGACTAAATAAGTTCATCCATGACTATAACTTATAACAAATAAGAAAGGACTCAGAACCGATCCTTGGTGCACTCCGATAGTAATAGGGAACTCTGCAATCCTCCCTACACTAGTACGGACACTTGTATCACAAGCCGCGTACATATCCATGATGATACTGATATATTTATATGATATGCATTTTCTCGAGGTACCTATCGTATGCTTTTTTTAAGTCAATAAACACCAAATGCAGATCTTTTTTAGCGTCCATATACTTCTCCACAACTTCTTATCTAGTGCCCATGCATAAAACCACCAAACTGATTCTCCGAAATTTTCACACTTTTTCGGAGTCTTTGTTGAACTAGTCGCTCCTTATGTTTAATGTTGTGACTCATAAGTTTAATCCCTTGATAATATACTACATAATATATAAGATTCTTCCATAGTACTTCTCCAAATATATTTTGTACAGGCCCTCACTGAGACATGCTCACATCATCCCAACTCATTTTTCTAAATGATGGCATGTAATCATTTAGTCCCAGTATATTGATTGTTGAAAAAGTTGTCTTACATCGATCAAATGTGAAATTACAAATTGACATATACGTAGTATGATATATAAGACATTAGGATAGTCCTTCTAAACCCCTTCAATTCATGCTGTATTTTGCTATACTTATACAGTTATACCTGACATTCCTTTTTTGTTATATTGCAGCGCCTACCTTTCAACATCATGTCCAAGTCATTGAAAAAAGTTCTCTATCATTCCCCTTCCCTCTTATTTAGATATCATAAAGTAGTTGCTGCTCCCACTTGTCCCAGGATCTCATCATACAAACTATGTTGTTTAAGTATTTGTCTTGTATCACTTAAGTACAAAATAATAAGGCAACATATAAGATGCTTAGTTATAATGGTCTATCATGTTATCTTTTTAAAATAAAACTCCAATTCTTACAGAGTAATATTTACAAGCATCTTCTAACCTATGTTTCTGTGTCGCACTCGTCTCCTTCAGTCCTTCATGTCATATTTTTCTAAACCCCAACATGTTTATCCGTATAATATGCCCGTCTTAGAGACACATTATGATCACAAAACACTCCCATTTGAACAGACCTGTACTGATTCTTTTGTTTCATATTCTGCTGTCTGTCTTTTTTCTTTTGTGTCTTTATTATATCCTCATTATATAATACAATGATTCCGACTCTTGTCACCAATTGTCCAACTATAAGCAGATAGTAGATTTGCATTTCTCCAGCTTTGGACTCTTATACTAGTACATCTTAAAATTAGTAGGTGCTGCTACTTAAAATTACATTTCTTCTCAGACTGTTCGAAACACTGTAATCACTTTTCCTTTGGCACTAAGATTGCTTCCTTTGTTTGATTATCGAGCACATACATGTTACATTTCTAGGCGTTTACGATAGGGAAACACATGGTTTGGTGATTGAGCCACGTGACAATCTCACCTAGTTTGTGCATTTCTTGAGGCAGTGGAAAGGCTTTCGGGTCCTTCTTTGGGTCTATGCTCTCTTAAATTAGCTAAGTTTCGCTCATCTTAAAGGGCTGGACTTGCTGTTTTTGTGTACTTGTACGCGAGGCTTTTTGAATTGTCATTTGTCTTGCCCATTAACTAATCAAACATACTCTTTTTTTAAGTAGAGCTAGATACGTCGAAATTTCAATCCAAACCGTATATATCCCGAAAGATCATACCTGTTTGATCTTAAATTGAATGATCAAAATTTAGTCCAAATGGATGGATTTGCGTAATATTGGGTCATTGTCTTATGTTAATTTTCAAGCATTGCTCTAGGGACTTCTGCTCATTCGTTGTCTTGCTCTATATTACGTTGTGGTTTAGGGTGATTAAGAAGTTACGTCAAAGTCATTAAAGGTGACATTATATGACAGGAGGGGCAGCAAGATTGCAAGGTCCTGCTCAAGACGATTAGTTTGTTAACCAATTACCAATAGATTGGAATAGAAGGGTCAAAAAAAGACACTGAGAAGGGTTTTACAATTCTTGATTATTCTTTCAAAAGATACTTCCGAGTTGGAACATAAAGATGAAATAATAATTTATTTATTTAAGATGAATAATATTCTTCTTGAGTTTCATTTTTGTTGTGATGTATCCCAAGAATATAAAGATGAAATAATGATTTATTTATTCATTACTGAAATAAAGATAATGGATAAAATACCGTCCAATATTATTTATTCATTTATGGAGTGACTATATTGGTAACTTTTAACAAGTATGATTATGACCACTTTCGCATTGTTAAGATATTGTTAGTACACTCATACTAATTGTAGTTACATTTTTAACTATGAATTTAACTTTAATTAAATGTGTGTTGGCTTGACCGTGAACATATGAAATTTAATAGGGACCGCTTAAAGCTTTTGACTTTTTGAGTGCTTTGTAATTCCATTTTGGGGTACACTTTATGAGGCTTTGAGCATCTTTAATGGGAACTGGTGCTCATCATCATTGATGATGTGTTTGCATCACTCGATTTAACAACAATCCCTTAAACACAAATTAAACACCAACCATTGCCCATGTTCAACGACAATCCATGTACGATTGTTTATAAAACATTAAATTATGAGCTAGATTATATTAAACCTGCGGATGTTTTGAGACAGAAATAAAGGCATGCAAGTATGCAACTATTTTTTCTAGATTATATGGTTGGAAAAGAAAACAGTGCAATTTTTTTCAGGTCGTGCGTCTTCTCATTTAGGCGTATAACTAGGAAATAAATTGCTTAAATCCACCACCCCTTTGGAGCCTAAAAATAAATATAATAGTGTGTGAATCCACATCAGTTTTAAGGACCGTCTGTATATGTGACATGTCTAGTTTTTATGTAATATCATCCTCATCCCTATTAAAGATGCTCTTAGTATCCTTCTGTGATGCACATTGTAATTTCAAAAAGTGTCACCACTTAGTAACAAATATTTGATACATTTGCAAAATTGTCACCACCTTTTAAAGATGCATATCTGTTTTTAGACATTGTATGACTTTGTATGTACAAAGGCATTATAATGCATTCAATGGTGCACTTTTCTTTAGTAAATGAATAAATGATGCATAATAGATTTTGACATTGTTTACTCAAATGACTACTCTTACATTGAATTTTATCGTTTTTTAAAAGTGTGATGTCATGTTTTGCGCCGTTTTTCATCATTACAACTACACTTCAAAGTGTTTTATCTCGTTTTTTAATATTTTGCGATGGTCGATGGATGACCATTGTTTAGGACAAGGCTGCACTCTTTGCATGCACACAATCACACAAATGATGCACCCCAAACTATAACCTGTCTCTAAGTCTCTTAAATGGATAACAAACTTTCATTTAAAGTTCTTATTTTTACAAGTAAACTTTAGGACACCTTTACTGACACGTTTACATCACGGGTTACTAATCGGTGCTTATTAAGAC